TCACAGAGCAAAGTCTGGGGTTCCCTCCATCTCAGACAGATTCACTCCACACTTCATTTGGCACTAAAAGCACAGGGTTTTCCAGGTGTTTCTAAGTGTCATTAGTGTATGGCAGATGCTTTTCTACAGTGGTCAGCAATTGTTAGGCCCTTATAAGGGCATCCGGATGGTGACAGACAGTGACACTGGTCACTGAGAACAAGGAGAGGACCCTCCAGAGAGCAGGGAACTAAGAAGAAGTAAGGAGCTCTGGCAGTTCAGGCCGGAAGGGAAGGCTGGAAGGGCTAATCAGCTGTCCAATTACTTGGTCATTCACCACCTCTTTATCTTGTTTCTCCTGGTCCCCAGGCACTGGGCTCAGTACTGGAGATAAGGTGGCCATCCGGAAAGACCTGCTCCTGCCCTCAAGGATGGTCTCTATCAGACATATTCATTTGCCCTTGAATGGTAGCAGCCACAAAGAACAAGACGGCTCTGGCAGCACAGGGCCAGGGAACCTACCCCAGTCTTAGTGTTCAGGTGAAGGTTCCCTGTGCAAATAGCATTGAGGCTGAGGACAGAGGAGCCCAAATTCGCCATGGGGTAGGCACGTCCGCAAAGGGAACAGCCCACCCTGTGGCCCTGCGGCAGGCGGGAGCCCTCAGAGAGGGGCAGTGGAGAGGTTGGAGGCAGGAGGAGCAGGAGGCCCAGGACAACAAGAGGCTGGACAGGTAGGGAGGAGGGACCAGACTGTAAATGTGGGCCCAGCGGGAAAGCCATTGCAAGAGTCCAGGCGGGTGACTGAGTAGCAAGCGGGCAAAGTCCAGAACGAGGGTAGTGAAGACGCACAGACACACTTCTGGGAGTGAAGTGGACTCAACATGGAGAGCAGTGAGGCAGCAAAGGCAGAAGGGGACTCAGGGAAGGTATACGGCGATGGGCAGATAGATGCAGCACCCAGGTGAGGGGGACTCGGCATTCTGTCTCAGCAGCTAGGTGGTTAACAAAGGCAACAAACTGTGGGGAAGGTAAATTTGGGATGTTGTACTAAAAGGCCCTTTGAGGCCTCCCAGTGCAGGGGCTGAGGGGAGAATTCATTACACAGGTCAGGAATTCAAGAGGGAGGGCCCATCAGGAGATACAAATGCAGGTGACATTGGGGTCACAAGAGAGGTGGAAGCCAAGAGACGCAGTCCAAGCCCCAGGTGTCACACCGAGCTCACTCACGGCACTCAGTTCACATCTCAACAGAATTTAGAGAAACAGGATTGGAGATGTGGGTGTCAGAAGGCTCAGCCCAAGGCTCACTGGCCCTCACCACGGTGGCAGGAAGTAAATGACGCAAGTGCAAAGACACCCCACCCAGGAGGTGGTCCCAGGACATGGGCCCTGTGACAGCACCAGGTCAGGCTTTCAGCAGGGGCTTTACCCTGAGAGGTACAAAATCTGCAGACACTGCCTAGGAAACACTCAGGGGAAGTGGTGTTTCAAGTCTTTGCATTCCATACATGTATGTTATGTGCGCCCTTTGTCTCTCGGCTTAAAAGAATCCTAAACTGTTAGAGTAAATTCAGTAAGAAGTAAAAATTAAAGCAATGATCATTCCTATGTGTTTTAGTTCATCTAAACATTGATCAAGTTCACAGAGTGTTACTGGGTCCTCCACAGCCCATGATACCAGTGACGTGGATTATCCTACCTGCCATGGTTTGCTACCTTTCCTCCAATAAAATGCAAAGGAGAGCAAATGGCATTGGCATCTGAATCCTGCTCCCAAACAGGAGGATTTCCAGAGAAGAGTGAATCAGCTGGTTATATAACAGAACCAAGTCCATTGTAGTATAGGCCTCTGGACACGGTCTCCTGTGTTCTACAAATCCACACTGCTTAGAAGACATCTTTGATCCTGACTTTCTGCCCATCAGAACCTTATTTTCAAGGGAAAGGCAGACCCAGGAGATCTGGAATTCCTTCCAGGTTTCTGAGCTTTCTTGGCTTCACCTGAGGACAGAGCCCACGGCAGCCCCCAGCAGGGCCACCCATGGGATTGTGTCGGTGGTATTCCGGCAGCGCGGCTTTCATAGACCGGGGTCTGGGCATGGATAAGCGACACCCACGCCCCACCCGCCACAAACCCCGGGTTGAACTCTTCCCCCTTTGGGGCTGCATCTGGTTAGAGATACCGTCCCCCACTCCCCACCGCCACAAACTCTGGGTTGAACTCTCCCCAGTTTGGGGCTACATCTGTACCCTCAGGAGGTAGGAAACCAAGGTGAGGGGAAATAGAGGTAACGAGATGAGTAAAGGAGTGAACATCAATCAGTTCTTTTGTTGAAGCCGTAGTTAATGATTAACAGATCATCACTGCTTTAATTTCTTAACCTTTTGTCTGCCTTGGAAAGGAAAATACAAGTTATCTTTAGAGAAGCTTCTTTTGTCAACAGTGGCTGCTATTTTAAGACTCAAAAGAAGTAGGAGAAATCGGACAAAGACATTCTTTATTTCTTTTCCTTCCAAAGTGTATTAGGTGTAAGTAAACATATGACTTACCTTAGAAAGACAACCGATGCAAAATAAGTTTATTTGCAGAAGCGCCTGCTACTACGTCTCAAAGCACATATCCGCAAATGGTTTCCTATCAGAGATCGATTACAGCCTTTGTTTGAACTTGCTTGTTGAAGGTTTACATATTACAGTTCTTGTTGTAGATGATGTAATGAGAAAACCAGGAAGCCGACCAGCACAAATGGCTGATATATTGACATTTGGCTTTTTTTTTTAATCTCACATTATGAAATCTTCTCTCAGAAAATCCAAAGTGACTATCCAAATTTTGAACAGCTTACTCGCAACAACATACACACCTTCACAAGTGCTGAATGATTCCAAGGAGGGAAGAAGGGCTCCTTTTGCTTGTCATTTTATTTACAGGAGATGTGTCTGCACAGGGGAGGAAAAAAAGTTCTTTTTGCTTTTAGAGATGGACATAGATTTCCAAGCCATTTGACTCAAGAGATAGTTTAAATAGGAATGAATTTAATATACCTTTAATTCTCTGAAATAAGAGAACTCCAGCTGAGGTTTGGTCCAGGGCAAAGTCTGTTCTCGACACTGAAGAAAATCTATCACATTAATCCCAGCGGCTCAGAGTCCAAAGCTGCGTGAACAGAATGCTCGAGGGTAGGTTCTCACACAGAAGAACGCTTTGAAAGAAACTTTAAAAACAAAATGACTGTTCAGAGAATACCAGGCCTTGTGTGGAATCATGCAGCACTTAAGGAAAGATAGAAATAATTATGCTTGAGAAACATAGCTAATTAAAAGTAACTCAGTGCATAAAAGGAAAAGAAAACCATAGAATAACTTCTCTGCTCCAGTGTAAATGTGAGATGCCACATAATGAAATAGTAGGATTTTTTTTTTATTTCATTTCACACTGGCATAAAAAAGATGGAGAGGAAAATTATATTGCCAGAAAATGCCAGGATAGACTTGCTAAAGATGTTATCATGGACTGTGTTTAAAACAAAAATCTAATTGCTGTAATGTATCATGCCTCTAGTTATTAAAACCATGCTAATTTAAAGATTTTAATTATTTGCCACTTTTCCACATTGTGACTTTTCATAGAAGATACTACAAAAATTTCTGGTTCTGTCTGCCTTTGTACAATTTTTTTAGGAGCTCCTAAGTAAAATTAACATGCTTTTAACATATAATTGTGTTTACATCAGTAATAAACATTCCTTGTGTTTTTCTTTTAGTGTGTTCAATGAAATATCTGGAACTGCTTTATAATTGCTGAGCCTCATATGTGAGAGCACAGGCTGCTGAATTATAATTCCCCGTACACACAACTAGCCTTATAAAGAACACCCTTTCCTTTGGATTGGAGAGAAGAGTCTTTTAATGATAGGAGAAATTTCAAAGGAAAGATTCCCCTGATTTTGGCATGAATTTGCTGCTTGGTCTTGAGAAACAGACTCACAAGATAGTCATTGAGGCAACACTGCACTTTGAAAGCAAACATTAGGGGAAGCCTGGGTGGCTCAGTCGGTTAAGCATCCGACATCGGCTCAGGTCATGATCTCATGGGTTCGTGAATTGGGACCCCGCGTCAGGCTCTGTGCTGACAGCTAGCTCAGAGCCTCGAGGCTGCTTCGGATTCTGTGTCTCCCTCTCTCTCTGACCCTCCCCTGCTCGCGCTGTCTATCTCTCAGAAATAAATAAAAACATTAAAAATTTAAAAAAAGAGAAGAAAGCAAACATTAAATACCTCTTGGGCCGATTGAAAAAAAGTTGGGGATAGACAAGGTATCATATAGTACATATAGCCCTGTACGGGAGGTTCACCATCAAACTACTCCCGAAGCCAACATAGCCACTCTCAGAGAAAAGGTGGAGGGAAGTAGCCAAAGGTGAAATCATTTCTCTGCTGTGGATATAGGAGGCCTTGGGAAATAGAGCCCATTCAGTGAAATGGGTGGGCTGCAGCAAATTGTCTTCACCTTGAGAGAAACATGGTGGTCTGACTTGGTTTTTATGTGCCTCGTAAGAGCACACTCAGGTCTTCTATATCAAAGAATTCATGGGAGTAGCATTATGATTTAATACTATATTTATTTATTAAAATATGACATAATTTCAAAGCAGAAGAAAAAAATGTATAAAATGAGTTCCCTAAATCACAGGTCAGCGCCATATCCAGGCCAAACCTATGATATTCAGTGAGATCATAGATTCCGGTGTCTAGAATCCAGAGCTTTAAGGAGCTTTGAACTCCTAACCCTTTGATGGGAAAATTAAAATTAAACTCGCTCGCCTGAAGTCACAGAGCCGTGACGAGCCCCCACAGCTGCTCAGTTGTAGGCAGTTGTACTCCATTCCTTCCTGACCGCTTTCCCCTCCTCCTCCAGGAACTTGCTCCTGTGAAAGTGGCTTCCTAGCACTCTTCCTCCCCAGCCCCATACCCAGTGCCTTATGCTCTCTGCCTGCCAAGTAATCATGTGTTCTTTTTGCAGGTGCAAAGTTCCCCATTAAGTGGACGGCCCCCGAAGCAGCCCTGTACGGGAGGTTCACCATCAAGTCTGACGTATGGTCTTTTGGAATCTTACTCACAGAGCTGGTCACCAAAGGAAGAGTGCCATACCCAGGTAAGAGCTGGCAGCAATGGGCCTCCAATTGGGTGCTCTCCTAGCACCACTTGGGGACACTTCTCAGTTTGCCTTCAAAGCCCCATCCTCAGCTTTCCACTGAGCATGAGTTTAAAGAACACGGACAGGTACTGAGCCAGGGAAAAGCAGAATCGGGAGCCACCGCAGACGTCACACAGGCAACAGCTACCATGCATTGTATGCCAGGAGTCATGTGACCAGCAGCCAGGATGAGGGCTTCGATCCACCCCGGTGCATGGGGTCCCTCCTGTCTCAGTAGCAGGGTGCACCTGTGGCCCCAGGAGCAGAAATGTGGCTGGCAGAAGCTCAACCCAAATAAGGGTTTGCAGACACTTCCAGGAAAGAGACGTGCTCTTTGATTACGCTGTAGCATTGACCCATGGAGTGAACCAGGCAGGAAGAATACCAGGACCTCTTCTCTCTGCAGGCCCTGGGCCCAGATGGCCGTAGAGAGCAGAGGCACGTGCGGGACACGGGTCAGGGGCCACTTGCTGCCCAGTTCCCAACAGTCAAAATATCCCCTAGAGAAGCAAGCGTAACGTAAAGAAGCTGGAGATTCTCAGGTCCCAGAATTTTTCTGGATTATCAGCTTCATGCTTCTCAAAGAAACCACACATTTAGGCTATCCACACTTACATTCATTAATTTCGACAGATGGTGACGTAAAGGACACTCGTGCCATTTCACCTCCACGCTTTAGTGGTTATATTACAGCACACGGACAATCTGCTTTCTGAAATGTTAAGGACATATTTTTCAGTTACTGTTGAGCGAAGAAAGAACGTAACTCCCCCTCATTCCCTGCCTAAGAAAGGAGCTTAAAAAAAAAAAAAAAAAAAGATCCATGATGGAACCGATAGTGGAGATTAATGAGGAATTGAGGTCTTTTGCAAATCCTGGGTTTGTAATTCTATCTTTGCAGTCAGAGGAGACAGCGAGGGCAGATTAATCTGTAATCCCTTTGTTCGTTTTTTATGATTATTTCTGGTCATCTTCAGAGAATGCAGAGAAGCAAAGAGGATGTCTTTGCAGGTTGGCATGGCCTTGAGACTCCTCGGAGAGCCAGGCTGGCGCAGAGACAAAATGGACAGAATTCCGTGTCTGTGAAGCGCCAGCCCAGGCCTTTCCAGACGCGGGTGGGAGTCGGTCCTCCCGCTGAGGGGGCGGCTCCTCCCAGCATGCACCAGTGGGCAGGCTCTCCAGGAGAGCCAAGCCCTCTGCAAGAGGGGGCTTCCCACTAGGGGCCCGGGGCGCAGCAGGGCCATTTTTGAGTTGCATCCCGAGGGGGGAAATGGGCAGGTCTTGGGATTTTGAAGATAAAAAGGCGTCTTTTTTTTTTTTTTTTTTGCCTGAATTTTGAACTCCTTTCTCCCTGAATCCCCCAGGTTTATGGTCAGCCAGTGTGTTGAATGCAACAAAGGGGAAAAGGTTAATGTTGTTTTGCATTTCTGTAAAGGCTTTCCTTTCAGCGATACAAAGCCGCTTTTTGTTTCTCAGGGTTGCACACAGAAGCAGAGACAAAGGGGCAGGGGCTGGGGCCTCGGGGAAGGCAGGCAGGTGTGTGCTTCTGAGGGAGAGGCTTTTACCAAGTTTGGTTCTAGCATAAAGGAAACGGCCTTATTTGAGAACTCAGACTGGGGTTCATTCATTCAGCCCAGCGCCAGCGTCGGTGAGTGTGAGCTGCGCCAGGCATCTTGCTCTACCTGGGAATTAAGTAGAAGTAAGACCTTGCCATCTCAGGCAGCTGATTAAAGCCTTCCCTGAGCGAGGCACTGTTTCGATTGCCTGGGATAGAACCATGAGCAAATACACAAACGTAGTCCCTGCACTCGTGGAATTCCCAGTCAGAGAGATAAAATACGCATCAAATCCAGGAAGAACATCAGTCTTTTCTGTTCCTCACTTATTATTAGAGGAAATCATCCTCAAGTAGAGGGGATTACTTGGATTTACTCCTTGTCGGTCTCGAATCTTAATTCTGATAATAAGGTCAGGGGGCACCATTCCCCCAGAATCCTGTGAGCATGCCAAAGGAGTTTGAAATGAGAACTACATACTTTATTATGTATATTCTGTACTCTGAGGAGATGCTGGCACGGAGGGCGTGGATAGCTGCCCCACGTCTGTAGGGATGAGGACGGGTTGTATCTGGGAAGCTTCATGGAGAAGAAGGCAAGCAGGGTTTCCTCCTCAAGTCAAGGAAGAGGGGAGAAGGTTCCAGACAAGAACCTTGGCAAGCGGGAAGGCAGCAAAGCCTGGGACAATGGTGCTTGTTCAGGGAGCCGCAGGATAAGGAATTTGAGGGCCATGACACGAAGCCTGGAGGTGCTGCTGCAAGAGCCCACCGTGAGGGCCTCATGTGCTACCACAGGGAGGCCCTGGGGCCCGGCTGGCTGGCCCAGCGCCCAGGGGAGCTTTGTCAGCGGGCGAGTGACATGAGCTACCCCTCACTCCCAAACAGCCACAAGAGATTGTTCCCAGGCCTGTTCCTAGTTGTGGGTGCTTCTTGGGGTTTTTTTTTTTTCTTGTTGTTGTTTTTTAACATAGTTATAGTCCTATTTAATTGGACTTCTGTATCTTACGGTAAACTCTTCTTGAGGAGAGGCTTTTACAGAGGAATTCCAATTACAGGATTATTACCTTAATGAAGGGTAACAGTTCCTAAGGCACGGCGTCATTAAACTTCATCCAGATGTCACTGTGAAAGGAAGGAGCTTCCTGTCCACATCCCCAGTGTTGGTGTGGCCGAGTCCGTCAGTGTGTGCCGAGGCCGTCAGTGTGTGCCGAGGCATGGCTTCTCTGCCACACCCAGTCCTTGGGCCTGTCGGTGGGACCCCAGGACAGAGTCCCAGTCCCTGTCCCCCACGCCTTCTACGCGGACATTGTGATGTAGAAATTTCGCAGTTGGCTACGGTATATTTTTAAGCAACTCCTTTTTCAAGAACAGTAGGTGGCGGTATTTTTCTGAATTCTTTCATACCTGAGAATGACCTTCTATCACCTTCACACAGAGGAAAGGTACTTTGGCTGCAATATGAGGATGGAGGTCAGGGGAGGGGAGGGGACTTATCCATGGGTTCATAAAGCTTTCCAGGCATATTTGCCCAGCATGAGAGAAGTTCCAGAAGTGAGAATCAGAGAAGGAGCTTAGAATGGAGTATGTGAGGTGTGACCACATGAAGAGCAGAAGGGTTGTGGAGACAATGAAACATGGGCCTCCTGGCCAGTTAGCTAGTTCTGCAAAAGGAATGGATTAAAAGGAAGGGAAGAAGGACAGTCTCTAATTGAACGACAGCCTTGGAGCCAAAGAAGAAAATACTGAAGTGTGACACCGAGATTAACAGGGAGGTAGTGGAAAGGAGTCGCACACACCGCCCTCCCCGACAAAGGTTGCTTCCGAGATTTGCCACAGATTTGCGCTCAGTTGCAAGGAACCACTCGGTTTTGCAGGTTCCCTGGGACCCTGGGAGCAGCCTGACCTGAATGCATTCTAGGCCCAGCGATATGACTTGCTCTTCTGTGAGCCAAGGCGCACAGCCATTCTTTGCATCAAGATTGGAATGCATTTTGTACCGATGGATTGCTTATGTGAGAAATGAAAACACGCACATACAAGGAGTTTTCTGGGGTTGATGCATAAAACCAGAGCTCTGCATTTTAACCCATCACGTCACCTTCAAAACTTCCTTACAGCCTTCTTTTCCTCTTTGCCTCCACTGCCCTGTGTCAGGCTGTCATCCACTCTGCAGTGACCTCTTCATGGGACTTCCTGTTTCAGTTTCTCCTCCCCTCCACCCATTCTATCACTGTCGCCACCGGTTGTTATCCTAGAAAACAGAGACCCGCTTATCTTACTCTCCCAGTTAAAGATGCCTGTGGCTTCCCTTCACCTTCCGGAGAAACTCCAGAAGACTTAGCTTTGCATAGTCCTTAATAACCCTTTCCTGAGGGGAAGGGAGGAGGGGGGGCAGAATCTCCCTGACTCATCCCACATTTATTGAGCACCTACTGTATGCCAGGAACTGTTCACACACCAGGCGTACAGCACTCAGCCCACAGACAGAAACTCATGCCCTCACGAGTGCTTATTCTTCTTGGAAGAGAGAGACAATGAACCAAGATAATAAGCAAACTATGTTCAGTATTGGCTGGGTAGTAATAAGTAGGGAGAAAAATAAAACAGGGAAGGGGGTGGAGGGTGGCCTCTGGGGAAAGGCCTGGAAGGAAGCAAGGATAGCCAGGTAGCTGTCTGGCAAGGAGTCTTTCTTCAGAGGATCCCAGAGACAGCGAGGCCCTGAAAACAGAAAGGAGGCCAGTGTGGCTGGAGCAGAGGGAATGGAAGGTCTGAGAGGCCCCCAGGTAGATCAGATGGGCCTTCCTAGGTACTTAGTAGGACTTTAACTTTCACCATTAGTGAGATGGGGAGTCACCAAGGGGCTTGAGCAGGAGTGACGTGATCTGACATGAGTTCTCTCTTGCCGGCCCGGCCCTTCCCCCTGAGCTACTCCTGTGACATGTGAGTTGCTCTTCTTGGCTTTACTGCCTGCCTCAGAATCCTTCAAAGCCCAACCTAAACATCACCTCCACTGTGTAGCTTTCTTCATGCCCACACCAAGTGGCTCGCCCCTTCTGCTCACTTCCATGATACCTGGTACGTCTCTATCAATGCCCCTATCCATGTGTCTGTATTTCACAGCAGCTCTGAGCTGTGAGGGGACAGGAGCTCCTTTATATGTTGCCAGTGCTCGGCAGTGTCTCCCCATAGTAGACTCTCAGTGTGTGTCAGCTCGTGGATCGATGGATGGGGTGGGTGGATGGATGGATGGATAGATGGATTGATCAGTGGATAAATGGATGGATCTATCAATGGATTGATTGATGGATGGATCGATGGGTAGATAGATAGGATAGCAAAAAAAAAAAAAAAAACAGATTATGCCTATGAGGTTTTTGAAACAAGATTTTTTAGTTTGGCTGAT